TGAAGCTCATGGCCAACTGGTTGGGAATAGCCATGGCTCAAAGAGGAGCCATCCTTTTGGGGCTGCTGTGTGCCTAACTCCTGACTCAGGCTCCTACTCTGGGCCCCGTCAGAATAAAAGTTTTGCTGGTGGCCTAGGCAGGGAATCTTTTTCAACCTCTTTCTATAATCCAGAACTATCATCCCACTTCCAGAACTGGGGATGTAGGGTAGTTGGTGTAATGCTTGCCTAACATGCATGAGTATCGAGTTAGCTCCGGGATATGGCACAGACTGGGGGTGTGATTTCACCACTTGGGAGGCAGAAGCAGGAGATTCAGGAGTTCAGTCATCTTGGCTCCATAGTGAGTTCAAGGCCAGCTGGGCTACCTGAAACCTTACCTCCAGAGAAAAAAGACTCCTTCCCCCAACTTCTGTTAAGTGCCCACTGTTTTCTGGTCACAGGGCAGAGAAAGCAAATTCCCACTTCCCCCCATCTACCTCGGTTTCTCCCTGTTGTCATTTTTCTCTTGTGTACACCATGTCCCCTCAGCTGTTCACCTGGTCCTTTTCACAGCCTCCACGGCCCTCGAGAGCAGCATCTTTCTTCTGAACGAGGAGACCCTGACGACTGCAGCCTTGGGACTGGGGCCATGGCAGCCCCTTCTCCAGGAACACCATGCAGAGGCCCCTATCAGACCTAGGCCTCTGAGGAGTGGCGCCATGGCAACCAAAATGGAGGCTTCTGGGAAGAGTTGAGGGGGGGCAGGCTCCGAGGCCCCCTCCCTCTTTCAGAGCCCCAGGCAGGGCACAGTGGGAGAAAATCTTCACACTGAGGTGTCATCGGCTCGCAGCTCTGAGGTCAGCTGTTGCACATGACTTATCAGGCTCAGGTGACACCACTGTGGTCTAATTTCAGTATCCAGTAACTAAATATACCACAGCAAGTAAACGATGTCTCTCTTGCTCGGGAGTAGGGGGGTGGGTGAGTCAGTGTGGGCTAAAGGGAAGCTGCAGGACTTTCTGGAATGAATCCTGGGTTCCAGTCTTGCCTTAGCCATGGGAAAACTTGGGCAGGATTTTATTTCTCCCTGTGCCTCAGTTTCCCCACCCACCACTTGGAGGAGAATCCATGTGCACTAAGCTGTCCTCAGCTCAGTGCCTGGCCCAGGGAGGTTTAATGACAGAGATGTTGAGAGCCCAGAAAGCAGCCACTGCATCCCACACAGTGCCACCAGAGTAGTGGCATAGCATGCTCTATGTACAGGCAGGTGATTAAGGAGGGAGAGGACAAGGTTAGGGCTGTGACCCTGGAAGGGAGAAAGGCCCAAGGTCTAAACACAGCCTGCAACGTTCTCATCCCTCTGCTTCACCCAGACCCACCAGCCATCTCTGTGTCACTCACTCGAAGTGCCTTCCTGAAAGCTAGCTCCCTCCCATGTCATACCCACAGCCTTCCCCTGTGGAGCCCTCAGCCCTCAGGAGAAAATCCTTCACCCCTCGCCCACCCAGTCATTTACAGGTTGTTTGGAAGCATAGCATTATAATCAGATCCCACGGTTTGTGCCATTTACAGCCAAAAAAAAAAAAAAAAAAAAAAAAAAAAAAAAAAAAAAGGGGAAGAGAAACCTTTCAGTGATGGAGAAAAAAAACCAACAAGAACTAATAATAAGAGCATGCTTAAGAGGAGGGCAGGTATTGTTTCCTGATTTATAAATATACTGGATGCTGAAGAGAGAGCATTCCCATGCTTCAGGCTTTTTGAATTGTCTCTTGGATGAAGATAGCACGTCCTTTTAGATATTTAACATATGTTTCCTTCCCTGGAGTGTTTGCTTTGAAGGGATACAGAGAGAGAGAGAGAGAGGAGAGAGAGAGAGAGAACAAAAACAAAAAAAATGGCTGGGTGTGGATGGACTTTATTTCTCTTTAAATTATTATGTGTTTGTGTCTACATGTGTATATTTGCGAGGGTAGGTTTCCACAGAGGCCAGGAGGCGTCAGATCCTGTGAGCCACCTGATGTGGGTGCTGGGAATTGAACTTGGGTCCTCTGTAAGAGCAGCCAGTGCTTTTAGCTGCTGAGCCATCTCCCAGGCCCTGATGAGCCATATATATATGTATTTTAAAAACCTCACAAAGTCAGTGCAGAGATAGGGCTGTAAGTGGGGTGTGCCCAGGGAAAATCTCTTGGAAGGAAGTGCTGGAGAGAGCTCTGGAGAGTTGGGGTGCCTACCCAAGCAGAGCAATGACACACCAGAGGCTGAGATTAGAGTGGCTTGGCGTGCTTGAGGAACTGTGTGGCTGGGCTCAGGAGAAGGGCAGTAGAATTCGGGGTGAGCGGGAAGGGAAAGGGTGACAGACGGGCAGGCAGGGTGGCTGATCTTCCGTGTCAGCTGACATCAGATCACCTAGGAGACACAGCTCTTGGGTGCAGCAGTGAAGGTATTTCCAGTAAGGGTTAACTGAGGAGGGAGGATCCAGCCTGAAGATAAGCAATACCAACAGGTAGAGATGCGCCTCTCTCTGCTCCCACCGTGCTTGTCAAAGAGAGCATGCTCCCACTGTCATACCTCCCCACCCCCACCCCCATGGAAAAGGACTGTGAGCCAGAATAAAGCCTTCCTTTAATTGGTCACAGCTGGGAGGAAAGAAACACTACAGCCAGTTGTTGAAGGTCTTGTTCCGGTTTAAGTGACACAGGAACATGGGGCGAGCAGAGGAAAACGGGGTGTTGTTAAAGGCTGCTTCTGCTGCTTTGGTGCAGGCTAGTGGGCGAGGGAAGAGGCTGTGCAGACCTGTCAGGAGGCCACTTTAACCATCCAGGCAGGAGCTGGTGATAGGGACCAAGAACAGTGTGACATACAGGAGGCAAGCTCCAGAAGACAGCGGGCGAGCCTCACTGTGGGCTGTGTGTGGGATACGGGAGGAGAGTCTCAGGTGTTTCCCGGCTTCCTGTGATCATCAGGAGACAGTGTATCCCACTCATGTAGGGTGAGGGCTCTAGAGGCCAGTGGCCGGAGTGGTACAGGAGTCAGTGTAACCTTGGAGTGAACCCACCCATGGGGCCTGGGTGACATCCTTGCCTTCAGGATCACACTGGTGACTCTACAGTAAACAGTCTTTGGGAGGTTCTGAAAGCGTGGCTCAGAGTGTCCTAAGAGTGGGAACTCCTCTGGGAACGCACAGCAACCTGAGCTAGGGGAAAGGAGTTCCCGGGCCCGAGTCCTCACTTATTTTTCTCTCTCTCTTCCATCCTAGGAGTTGGGGCCCTGCCAGCTCCCAGGCTGCAAGATTGATTTTGCTTTCAGTGTTGTTATTGTTATTATCATCCACTTAAACAACTTCACAGGAAGCAGCCGGCCCCTGTGCCCATCAAACATTAACCGCTCATTCGAGCTCTCTGCCCATACCTGTCGATACATTTTTACATAGCGGAAAACAGTCTTCCCTTCCCCATTCTCTGCCGACTTTATCTCCCACACATGTCTCTTGCTATTGACAGAGCCCTCAGACCTGCCACTTTAATGGGCAGGTGGTAGCACCCTCTGCATTGATGGGCTGGGTTGGGTCACCATTTCTCTGTAACCAGATCCTGGGCAGATGTCAATTTGCCTTTCTCTTGAATATTGCCATCATGGATATCCTTATGTGAGTGTTTTTTTTCCCTTTGCAATTCTTCAGAGACCTCTCCCCCAAAGTGAGATTACCTTGTAGCTTCTGGCACAGAGACAGTCCAACGGTTTCCTCATTGCATGGCCTGGCTACACCGATCTGATCATTTCCGTGTGTTTGTCTGCCCTGGTTTCATAGATGTATGGTCTCATGCTTTTAATTTCTGACTTTTCACACCCCGAGGCCGTGTTTGGATCTCTCAGCACCTGATGATCATAGCAAGAGTAGATATGCACTGGGTTTTGCAGTTTACACGGCACTTTGTTAGATGTTGCACTTAGCAAGACACTGTGAGCCTAATATCACTTTGTGGGGGTTTAGTCAAGTGAAGAGCTGGCATGGAGCCTTCACTCAGATGGAGCCCCATTAACCCTTCATATTCCTGGGCTTTGGGGTCAAAGTCTTCAGGGACCCCTGGCTTTAGCACAGTACTGCTTTGCCTGTTCCTGGCCAGGGCCTGACCCAGGCTCCTCCTTCTAGGATGGGGATCTGGATGTGGTACAGTCCTGGTTCCAAGGACCTATGTCCCAAAGTATAGGGACAGCAACACCCAGGGGGATGTAAGGATCCACACTGGAACTGTCAGACCTGAAGTGCGAGTCTGGGTTATTGTGCCCTCTCTCGCCTGTCAGGTGTCAGTGCTGACCCTGGGGCATCCCTTCCTTACATGTTTAACACTCACTATTTATGGCCAGCCCATTTTATAGTCAGAAAACTGAGGTTTCAAATGAGAGTATGATGATTTACCTCAATTATTGTCACAGCAAATATTGTCACAGACGAGACAGGAAGCCTGTCCCTTTATATGTGTAAAGGCAGGGGCCTGGATTATAATCCAGGACTACTGGCAGAGACTAGAGCCGAAACAACTGTGAGAATGGAGAGCATGCTGAAGCTAAATAATGAGGACCCAAGTTAGGATACTGAAGGAGTGTACCAGTGAACACAGCCCCAAATCCCTGAGCCAGGCCAGTAGGTGGCAGCCTCAGTCCCCCACCAGCAGGGGGAGCACTTTCACTGGTGACCAAGCTCAGCCTCCTTTGCTGCTCTGGTTTTTGTATCCTGCTAAAGTGTCCCACATTGAGTTTGTTGACTCCTCTTGTCAACTTTAGGACTGTTTTCCAGAGGATCCTGGGCTCACTTACCAACTAGAAATGGAACAGAAATGAGTGCCTGCCAGGCACCAGTCCCTGAGCTTGGTGCCCAACACTCAATCCTCAAGCGGAAGTTGAGTGGTGGAGTATGACGAGCAGTGCTTCCCCATCTTCCAGACGAAGAAATTGAGGCTCAGAGGTTTACTAACTTGCTCGAGGTCTCATGTCCGTGGAGTCCTGCCTTTGTCCCCCAGACCCACCTTACGCAGCCCAGGACTCACAGCCTCAGTCTAGCAGGCTCCTGCCTGAGGTTCAGGCCTTCCTGCTTTCTCTTCCCCGAGAGACTGCTCTGTGCTGGCTGCTGCTGCTCTTTGTCCTCCTCAAGTGTGGACTGGTGTCCCTGCACCCACAGAAACCTGCAGGTTCTCATTTACAGGTCTTCCCCAGTGGGTTAGGGAGGCTTTCCAGACACACAGCCTCCAATCTGAGCTTCACCTGACCTCCCACTGATGAGGTACAGATGTGGTGAGAGGTGCCAGACACTCCCAGGGACTTGGGGGTGGGTACGGACAAGCTAGCCATCACCACCGTCAGAAAGATGGGTTCATAAGAGGACCAGCCTCTTCCAGAAGCTTCCGGCTCTGTCAAAAGTCTGTGCATCTCTGCTGATGTAAAAGTAGCTTGTTCCTGGGCTCAGTGGTGGTGCTGGGACAGCATCCTTAGCTCTGGACCCGTGCTTTGCTTGGTGGCAAATAGTGGTGAGGGACCCTTGTCGAGGAAGGGCTGTGTGTGTGGTTGGTCTTTTATTATTTACTATTCATTATTTTATTATTAGCATGTGCATATAACTGCAAACGTATATGCAGACACATGTGTGTGGAGGTCCGAGGTCAACTTTGGGGGCTGTTCCTCAGAAGCCATCCACCTGGATAGATCGAGATTGGAGGTACCTCTAGTCCAGTCAGGTTCCCAGAAAGTCTGGGTCATCTCTGGCTGGCAGTGCACATAGGACAGGCTTCTGGCAGCATGTAGATATCTGGGCCACACAAAGGTTAGACCAGCCCTATTTCAGAGAGCATGGAGGACAGGAGACCCACATCAGATAATCCATGGGCCACAGGAGGGGCTCAGAGAGTCAATCCTGGTGTAAGATGGTTGGGGAGGGCCGGCTGTCACCTGCCCAGGAAGCCTTCTCCCAGGTCATCAGCCACTGTTCTCCGAGCAGCTAATTAAGGGGAAAGCTTGTTAATATTTCAGCACTGTTAACTGTGCTACGTTATTAAGTGTCTGTTTGCATTACATGCATAAAAGGATCAATGAACATGTTCGTACCCAGAGATGAGAGGATGAGAGCAGTCTCGGGGAGGGAGTATGGGGGTGAAGGATGCTGCCCACATGACCTGAGCAGAGGCTGTGTCCTCTGCCCAGTCCTTAGCACTGTACTGGGAACCCAGCAGTTGAAATTCAGGAAGTGCAATGGGTTCCAGAGCGGTTTGCAGCACTTATGTAACCTTGTAAAGCCTCATCTTTCCTATCTGAAAAATGGGAACAATGATAGGCTCATTAAAGCAACGCACAGGATATCTGAGATGGCATGCTCTGTAGAATACTGCAGAATAAATGTGTTTCTTAGTCTGCTATTGTGTTGAGGGTGTGGGAAGATCTCAGCAGGCCTTCAGTCACAGTTGGTGGCCTCCTGGGGAAACAAAGTAGAGGGAATACCACAGGACAGTGAATGGAGTTGCAAGGTACAAAGCCTGGGTTCGGGTCCTGGATCTGCTATGGTCTCAGTCAGTGACCCAACCAAAGTGTTTTCTTCTGTGTGCCTCAGTTTCTCCCTCTGAGAAGGAGACTAAACATCATCTTGCCTTTTCTGTCTTGGAACAGAGATAAGGAGCTTGGACATATACAGGGCACATGGGGACCACGCCACTACTCAGCACGTGTGACAGGAGTGGTAGGGTCTTCAAATGTGTACCACCTCACAGAGAGGGAGTGCCTGAGATCTTGTGTTTGCGTTAGCCTCAGTGTGGTGGCCGATGGCTTAGGTGGCCGATGGCTTAGGTGGCTTGCTGTGTGTCAGACGCCATTTAATTTTATTTATTTAGCATGTGCATGCATGTTTATATCTGTGTGTACGAGCATGGTGTGTGTGTGTGTGACATCTGCACATGTGTATGTCTGTTCCTGTATATATGTTTGTGGGAGCCAGAGGAAGGTATGTGAGGTGTTCTGTTGTGTTATTCTCCACCTTATTGATTCAGGAGTCTCTAAGCTTGGAGCTAGGCTGGCAGCTAGCAATCCCCTTGTGTCCCTCACCCCCACCTCACCAATACTGAGGTCAGGCCCTAGGCTATTAGATGGGTGCTGAGGATTTGAACTCAGATCCTCACGCTTAAGCAGCAAGCACTCTTGCGCTCTGAGCCACCTCCCCAGGTATTTTAAATGGTCACGTGGGTTTCTTGCTCATTCCTCACAATCACTGCATTTTTCTTTAAGCAAGAAGTCTAAGGCTCGTGAGGCTTGAGGGGCACTGTACTCCACACACGGCACCCAGTGTGAATTTGTGGTGTAGTGTCATGTGTGCTTTGCATGTTTTCACCTGGGATGGGAGACGACCACAGTGGCAGTCTCCTGTCCCTCCTCTTGCTCCTGTTCCATCCTCCTGGGCGCTGTCATTCATCCTGAGAGCTCCTGTTATTTGGGCCGGCATTTTATATACATTGCTTTGACTGTTCATGCTGGCTCCGAGAGACATCACCAGTCTCATTTACAAGGCAAGAGGCTACGGCTCAGAAAGCTTGAGAAACTTGAACAGTGTCTCCTAGCAGGTGTGTAAAAGACCTGGACGTTAGTCCTAGACGGGTGACTTCAGAAGTCTTCTCCTTCCTCTAGCCTGTCCCTGTGGTTCTTTGTCACACCCCTTCGTGGAGCTTTGGTTGTACTCACTCCCTGAAGCCATCTTGATCCTCTTGGCTTCCCTGCTTGATCATGCTCTTTGAGGATGAGTCCTATTTATTTCTGGTGACAGTCTCCCCCAGCACCCAGCAGGGTGCCGCTGTCCCTGAGCTTTGTTATTGGCCAGATGGAAGAAGGGATTATGACAGGCCCTGGCTTGGTGGCCTTTAGAAGCAGATGCCTCTCCTCCTTGCTCCTCCAAGCTTCCCAGGACATGCAGAGCTGGGGGCTGAGGAGAAGTACAGTCAGGGGACATTGAACATGAAGAGAGCAGAGTCTGTGGTTGTGACCTGCGCAGAACACTGTCCAAATTGGCATGCCAAGGCCAGCAGACACGAAGTATGTGACACCAGGAAAATGTAAGGCTAGTGCCAAGTCAACTCTTGTTTGTTTGTTCATTTGAGACAGGGTTTCTCTGTGTAGCCCTGACTATCCTGGAACTCACTCTATAGATTGAGATGGCCTCAAACTCACAGAGATCCTCCTGCCTCTGTCTCCAGAGTGCTGGAATTAAAGGCAAGCATGTGCCACCCACCCCAAATCACTCTTAACACATGGCTCCTTCCTGTGGAAAAGCGTGTGAGCATCTGTTCACACACATAAGGTACCTCGTGAAGCCGAGGTTATGGTGTTTACTTACAGAAGACTCCATGACTCTGGCAGGCACATCTTGGAAGCTCTTTGTACAACTTTCAGGCAGCTGCGCCAAAGAGTCCTCTCTCTAGCAGAGCTCCTGCCTGTATGTATGACCTTGCCCAGGAGCCCTGTGACCCCTGAATTGCCTGGTAATCTGCAGGAGCCTCTTTTCTTCCATCAGGGAAGAGCTGTTTCAGTTCCCTGGAAATGGCTACATGACCATCTCCGATGTAGGGGTTGGGGTGATGCTTCTGGGTGCTCTGGGATTACTGCCAGTGGAGACAGGCAAATGGGTGTCTTGTTTCTTTTTTTCTTTTCTTTCTTTCTTTCTTTCTTTTTAATTGTTTCTTAAATTGAAGGATAGCTTAGTGTGTTGGTCACTGTGACAAAACACCTGGGAAACTCAACCTAAGAGTTGAAGAAAGGTTTGATTTAATTCATGGTTATTACAAATGCATACTGCTGTATCCCCATGAGTTCTTTAGATTAAACTCAAATCTGGAGTAAAGTCAAGCACTCTACGACTGATGTATGTACTCAGCCATAACCAGCTCCCTTTGAGACAGATCTCATGTAGCCCAGGCTAGCTTCAAAGTATGGAGTCAAGAATGACCTTGAAGTGATCCTCCTGCTTCAGCTTCATAAATGCTGGGATTAAGGACGTGTGCCATCGTGCCTGGTTTTATGCAGTGGCTGGGATCAAATAGAGGGTTACATGTAGGCTAAGCAAGCACCTTACAAATTGAGCTACAGACCGAACCCTCTTTATCAAAGGCCTTTGATTGATTAAAATAGTACCCTCATGATTCAATCAGCTATTACCGCAGCTGGGACCTTGTGGGAAGGGCCATGTCATATACACACTATGCCAGACAGGGTGACATCCAGATTCCTGGGCATATGGACATTGCCACCATTGAACCAGCACTCAGATGGAGATTTGTCTGTCCCTGGGACATTCTGGTATTCCCTTCCCAGTTATTAATACCCTGTCTACTCAAGGCAGTCACTGCCAAGCCTCTGTCACTACAAGGTTAGCGTTTGCAGTTCTGAATTTTGAACAAATGAAATCATGCATTATAGACACTTTTGCGTCTAGGTTCTGTCAAATTGTGCCTGGGAGGTTCGGTGGTGTTGGCCTGGCTATCGCTCATTTCCTTCACTTAGTCTGATGCCGCACTGTGTAAAGACACTAGCGGGGACTGGGGAGATGGCTCAGTGAGTTAAAACACGTGCCATGAAAGCATGACGACTTGAGTGGAATCCTTAGAGCCCATGGAGAAATTGGGCTCAGTAACAGAAGCGGCTGTATTACCAACACACCCCAACTGAGAGATCGGAAGTAGGAATGGGAGAGGTACCAGAAGCTCCATGGCCAGCAAGTCTGCAGCGTGTAGCAGAACCACCCTGACTTTTGCTTGTTTTGTTGTTTTTGTTTTTGTCTTAAGACAGAGTGTTCTTGTATAGCCCTCGCTGGCATAGAACTTGCTATGTAGATCAGGCTGGCCTTGAACTCACAAAGCTCTGCCTCTCCATCACTGTATACGAGCACATGTTACCACACTAGGCTCACCTTTGCCACTCCTGACAGGCTCATGGGTTGCTTCGGAGTTTTCGTTATTGGAAGGAAAAGCCACTCTGAAGGGTCTCTCTCTCTCTTTTTTTAAAGATTTATTTTGTGATTATGTGTATGTGTGTATAGGGGGCAGGTGTGTGCATTTGTGTGCTGGGAACTGGACTCGGGTCCTCTGAAAGAATAGTCCATGTTTTTAACCACTGAGCAGTCTCTCCAGCCCCTTGGAGGATTCTCAGACCTGTCACGTGATGGTCATGGTGCTCATTTCTGTTGTATTTATCCCCAAAAGAGGAACCATGGCATCACAGGGCACATGCATGTTTAACATTCATAGATATGGCTCAGATATCTTCCAGTGTACTCGACCATGTTAGGGTAGGATCATCTTATTAGCTAATACCAGCAGAGAGAGGTGGGCAATCTTAATGATGTCATCCATGATGGCCGTTCCTTGCCAATCTCCAGTGAAGAAGCTACAGGCCCTACCTGTGTTTGTTGGCCAACCTTCCCCTCCCCCTCCCCTGCCCTGCTCAGGGCTCAGGCTTGCTGTGTCCTAAGCCTGTGCAGCTTTGTAGTTCTTTCCCATCATTCCTTATCAGTCACCAAAGTTTCTGTCATTACAACACTGCCTTGCTGTGGGCAAGCCACAGCATCCAAGATTATAGCTTATCTTCCATTGAAGCCTGTTCAACCGATGTCTTCCTTGTCAAGAGGCACCCCAGGCTTCCTGCAGATACCCATGCAGCCTTCTGGTCTTATCAGCAACCAGCATGCATGACATCTCTTGGTAGTTTTTGATGAGGTTTCCCTGGGACCCAGGCCAAAGATGCCTATCTCTTCTGTGTATGGTGACGTTTGTGAATTTTTATGGCATGGTGACAGTGACAGGCCCAGTCCCTGGAGTGTGGTGTGCATTTTATACAGACACTGTGCGCTGATTACAAAATCAATAGCTAGTTGAAAAGATCTCAGAGATCATCAATCTGCTTTCCTCCTTCAGCTGGGGAAACAGGCTCAGAGTGGTGGCTCAAATTGTGTGAAGGCACACAGCTTCTCTTTTAACTGCTCAACCCAGGCTCATTCCTCTGTGACAGACAGGTACTCAGGGTGGCCACCTGGACATAGTTTGTAGAAGTTGGACTTGGTGTGGCCAGTGTCATGCCGAGTGGCTGTACCATAGGGTTTCCAGCCTATCTGGGGTTGATGGCTTGTGTTCATCCTTGCCACCAAGCACACTGGAAGGCCTTGTTTCAAACTATTTCTTCAGCTTCTGGCTGGCCACCTTTTGGGACAGTGCTCTGGTTAGAGCATGTTTACCCCAGCAGTATTGATGACAGTCTATCCTTTGGAACACATGGCAATTCTGCTTTTCATTCATCATGAGTTGTCTGTATCCCCATTTCACAAGCAGGTAAAGTAAGGCCCAGACACCTCTGCTGGGTGACATGCAATGTGGGACTCAGCTCTGGGTCTTCTTTGCTCTTTGAAGGGCAAGTGCTGCTCTCCCACGGAGCCTCCCAGGATTCCCCCTGCAGCTGCTACTGTGTTCTCCTCCTGGGACCACCCTTCTCTCCCCAGGCATCCTTGTGAATTCACTCCTCAACATGGGGCCTTGAGTAGGAACCAATCTGAGGCCTAAGGACCACTATCCTGAGCCTGACAGACAGTCTGATATGTGTGCACTCTGGATACAGGATGCTGGAAGGCCTCCAGAGGGGATGCTCCCCATGGGTCCTTTGTATTGCATCTGCTCCCCTAAGCCCCATCCTCTCAGTCTTCAGCAAGCAGGTGCGAAGCTGGGACCTTCCCTGCTTTCCAGAGCCCAGACACTGGCGGGGTTTGTGTTAGGCGAATGGGACTAGACTTCGGTTCTTTTCACCCTGTGCTCCTCTAGCCGCACCCCAGTCTACCCAGTGGACACTGGGTAGAAGGGATCCACCGTCTTTGGGGGCTTCTAACCTCCCGGTAAAACTTCTGTCCCTTGTAGGAGAAGCTGCTGCAGCTTGGGGACAACATGAACAAATGATCTGTGTTGGAATGGAGCGGTGCTCAATTACTGAGTCACTGAGTCGCTGTCTCTAAAAGCTGAGGCTGAAGGGGCTGGGGTAGAGGAGAAAGCACTTGTTTTAATGTGTGGGACTGGAATTCAGAGCCACAGGTGTAACTACGAGGTGGGCATGCAGCATGCTATTATTCCTAATCCTTGCTGAACGGTGGAAGAGGGGACTCCCCAGAGCAAGCTGGCTATCTAGTTAGCCATCTGAGAAAGATCTGGATTCACTTGAGAGCCCCTGACTCTATGAGTAAGATGGAGAGTGACCAAGGAAGATTCCTACCATCAACTTCAATCCTCCACACGCATGTGTGCACACACATTCACATGTGTACTCACACGCACAAACACCACACATACATACATAGGCAAAATGAAACTGAAAAGGCAGAAGCTTGAAAGGATCGGGGCGGGTGGTGTGTAGGCATGTGATTTGCTAGGCATGTGTGTGCTCTCAAGAGGAACTGAGATGGGCAGCCAAGCAAAGATGAGGTTTAGGAAGTTTAGCCTCAGCCTGTCCCTAGGGGGATCCTGAGAACCTGAGCAGCCACGATCACCCCTCCCTCTGAGTGTGTGTGTTTGTGTGAGCTCATGCATGTGTGTGCTCTCAAGAGTGTGCATGGATGTTGGGGCATTTGGGTCACCTGAGTGCTGTCTGCCATTAGTTGCAGAGGGGGACGGACACACCTGTCATATTGTAGAGCTGGGTATAGCACTAAAACACCCAAGACTTGGAGCCACGAAGACAGTGAAGCCAGAGCAATTGGCTACACAGCCTGCAGTGTTATGGAACTTGGGGGCCACAATCTGTACCCAAGTCATGTCTGGCCACTGTCTTCAATAAACCAGTTAAAAGAGACAATAGTGTAGGATGCAGAGAAAGATTTGCTCAATGTGGCTACATTAGGAAAAGGGACGGAGGTCCAGAGAACCCCAAAGTCCATCTTTGGGGGTCCTGAAATGAGATCAATGGCATGCACATCTGAGCTGTTGCTGTGAAGGTGTGGCCCCGCCCACCATTGACCCATCATCCTCTGGACTTCGGTGTCTTCCTATAAGGTGGTCTGATGCATTGTTGGAACTGTGAAATCTCTTGCTAGAGACAAATTCCTCTTCTGTCTGGCCCTTTTCCTCCTCCCATGGTATCCCTGGGGAAACCTTCCATTCTTCTGGGTCCTTCGTTTCAATAGTCTGAAAGGATAGATCAGGAGATACAGAGTCTCTTTAGAAGTCTTTATTTCTGCCATGCCTGTTACAGCAGCCATCCCACACCACTGTATTTGTCCCTCACTGAAAAGCAAATTTGGCAACACCTCTTTCCCAAATCCTGAGGTCTCCTGATCCTGGCCCAGTGTTGGTGAAGTATGGCCCCTCACCAGACACACTGAGAAGCAGCCCTAGCCCCTGAGCTCTGTGAGTCTTTCCTATTCCTTCTGTCCTTTCTCCACAGCCCCAGCCCAAGCTCAGATCGTGCACGCAGGACAGGCCTGTGTGGTGAAGGAGGATAATATTAGCGAGAGAGTCTACACCATCCGGGAGAGCGACACCCTGGTGCTGCAGTGCCTGGTCACTGGGCACCCTCGGCCCCAGGTAAGTTGGGCCTTGGCCTTGCTGGGCTCCTATCCTGCTCACACTCTGTGGCCTGTGATCAGGGTTTAAAAAGGAGCAGGAGGTGAGGAGCTACATACACTTTCCAGGCAAGCAACATGTCAGGACAAGAAAGACAGGGGCAAGACTAGCCTGGAGTTTAACTCTCTCTCTCTCTTTTTCTTTTTCGAGGCAGGATTTCTCTGTAGCTTTGGAGCCTATCCTGGAACTAGTTTTTATAGACAAGGCTGGCTTCAAACTCACAGAGATCCACCTGCCTCTGCCTCCCAAGTGCTGGGCTGGGACTAAAGGCATACATCACCACCGCTGGGCTGTGGAGCTTAACTCTTTTTGGATGCTGGATGCTCTGGGTACCGTCACCCCAAACACTGACAGCTGAGAGGAAAATGGAATGCCAGTTGTTCCTTTCCACTCGTCCTCTGTGGAACACACACTTCTTTACACACACCATCAAGAAATGCGGGCAGGTAGACCGCATGCCAAGAAGGCCCCTTCCCAGTGTTTTCTCTCTCTCTCTCTGGCTCCTCCAAAGGCCCCATTTTACAGCTAAGAGAAAGCGAGGCCCTGAGAAGCTGGGCAAACTCCCAAGGTCCCACAGCACTTCTGAAAACAGAAGCAGAATTTGAGTCTAGAAGCCATACCCTCTGTGGCTTGGCACACTGCCCTCCTCATTGGGTTAGGAGCTGCAGGGACGATATGGGCAACACTTCAGGCTTTTGGCAAGCCAGAGCAAACTCTGGAGGTTCAAAGACGCAAAGCAATTAGAAGGGGACAGAAGACAAGTGTCTGGAAATGCCAGATGAGTTTTGTCATAGATCAAGCACTCAGGTTCCTGCAGGAGGTGGTAGCTGGCTATTGCTGACTGATGGAGGAGGCAGGTAGGGAGGAGGGCTAGAAGAACTGGCTGCCTGGCAAGCTGCTGTGACCTTTAATACTTGAATAGCAGCAACAAAGGTGGCAGTTGGATTCTAGGGAGGACATTGAAATACAGAATCCTTTTTTTATTTTTTTTCCCTGATAATTTGGGGGGGGGGAATGGAGACGGCTTTCATAGCTCTGGCTTGAGATAAGCAGATGTGCAAGGAAACCCCTGAAGATTTCTTCCATATAAAGCCACCGTCACAGCTCGCTCCTGCTCGAAGCACTGGCATTGACAACGTGCAGCTGCATTTCTGTGGATCTTGTGTCACGTGTGATGACTACAGCAGGGATGCGGCTGGTGCGGCCAGTGAGGAAGCTGCCAGGCTATGCTGACCATCTGTGCATGTGATCCATACGTGACCACTAGTGGCCATGGCTGGGCGACAGGGTCAGGAAGGGTAACTTTGAACTTCTGACCTTCCTGCTTGCACTTATGTCTTGCAGTTATTACTGACCCGAGTTGCCACACCCAGTTTGTGCAAGGCTGGGGACAGAACCCAGGCTTTGCTGCATGCTGAACATGCTAGGCAAGCACCCCCTGTCTCCCTGTTTCCATTGATGGCTTCATTGCTTGCCCTGTCATACAAGCTCGCATACTTGGCTTTGCCCTGTCTCCCCAACAGCTGGCCAGACTCTGGCTCTTCATGTCTTACATGGGTGTCCTCTTTATCACTCTTGCAGCTCAGCTCTTCAGTCCTGTCCCTGGAACACTATAGTAAACTGAAATTCTACTACTTCAAAGAGGCTCTTTGCTTCTCCCCTACCTTTGTTCCATTGCAACGAACACCCCAAATCTGCTCCATTACCTGTCTCCCCCACAACTTAGCAATAACCAGTGGTGGCTCCCCATTGTTTGCCAGCTTTGCTCAAATCTCTGGGGTACAACTGGATACTTTTTGTATCCTGGCTCCTATTGCCCCTACCTGCCTGTGTCCCAGCTATATGGACCACCCATCGTCCTCCAGGTATGCCCCCATTTGTCCTGCTTGCTTCCTTACAGTGACATTGAGCATCTATCATGTTCCAAACACGGTGGATGTGTGTCAAGGATGCAGCTAGGGCACCTATCCAAAGGGAAGCAAAGGGGGAGGAGCATTGAGGCCCTTGCCAACCAAGGTCAGGATGGAGGAGTGACCAGACAGAGTTCATCCATTCAAAGAAGAAGCAAGAGCATGGGCATGCTAGGGTCTGCAACTCAGAGGGAATCTATGAGAGAGGGGAAGCCGCAAACCCAAGGACTTTTATTGTCGCTCAAGCAACCAGTTACTTGAGGACAAGTTGTTGGTCCGGGAAAAGAATGGTTTAGAGAGCCATCAAGCTGCAAACGATGGAGGAATTTGGCTCAGCAAATGGATGTAGCTCAGCCAGGCATGTGCTCTGGGTCCCATCCCCAGTACTGCAAAATAAGGTGTGGTGGTAGTGCACATGGGTAATCCCAGAGCTTGGGAGGCAGAGTCCGGAGGATCTGGCATTCAAAGTCATATATCAAGTATATACCAAGTTCAAGGCTGCCTGGGATATACCTGAGACCCTGTTTCAAAAAATGAAAAGAGGCTGTCTCCAGGTGGGGGGTGCCTGGCTTATGTAGGGAGCTGTGGGGGAAGGTGTGGAACAGATGGGACCAAGTAGTTTGGGTCCTCAGGGTGGTCACAGACTTTGGGTTCTCTTCTCTATGGGCTCCTGGAATAATCTGGGCTCTTTAAGTCTACAGAAATGCTATGGACGAGAAAGATTTCTGTTCTTTGTGCTTGGGGCTTGCTTTCCAAGAAATAATTAATCCCATAGCTAATTACTACGATACAAAAGCCTCCTCTGGAAACAGGGAATGAGTGAAAAGCCACTTTCCCCCAGAATATGGGAGAAATAGAGAAAGCAGCTGAAGAACATTTGCTGGGGGTAGGCAGTTTTAAAGCCATTAGGTGTCATCTACTAGAAAGCTAATGGGACTCACTGTATGTGGCCCAGTGATGTGACCTCCCAAATTAGTGGGATTTTAGTCACCTAAGAACAAATGGGTCCAGAGGGGTTTTTAAAAGGACCCTCCTCCCAGTGCCGGTGGCAATGAACGGAAGCTGAGGAGCCTGGGTTGGCACACACCTCAGGAGGAGGTGTGTTCATACACACAGGGTGAGTAGACCTGAGGCGGCCCACAGGCGGCAGTGTTTCCATTCCTGTGACAAGATGCCTGAGAAAGTAAACTTTTTATCTCAGGGTCCCAAAGCATGCCCCTACTGTGACAAACTTCTTCAGACTAGTCCACATGTCCCAGTTCCCACAAGCTCAAGGTAATTAAATCTGAACCCATCGATAATACACCTCCCCAAGGCCCACTGGCTAGCAACAAAGCCTTGAACACACAAACCTTCTGGGGACATGCATGTCCAAACCACAGCAAGGCTACAGGTCCATCTGGGACTAAGCTGAAGTGGATCCCCAGCAAGAGCTTCTACCTATGAAGGGGACCAGAAGTTTGTCCCCAGAGTCACAACAGGGCATAGCACTTAGAGGAGGCAGAACCCTGCTCTTTGTCTTGGTCAGTTTGATATAGGGAAAGGCAATCAGAAATCACAGAAATAAAAGCAGTAGTCTTTCTTAAAGAATGGCCTTAATACACCAGAGATAGCTAAAGATGAAATTAGGAAATTGGGTGACAGATCTGAGGCTGTTAACCACAACTCTGGGGAAGCAATAGAAATGAAGAAAGAGAGGTTTGAGGTTGTAGTTCAATCAGTAGCGTGCCTAGCACAGGTGAAGCCCAGGGTTTGACCCCAGCAGTACATTGACAGACATGGTGCTACACTCGTGTGATTCCAGTCACTGTGGAGGTGGAGGCAGAAGAATCAGGACTTTAAAATTATCTGTCAGTTATTTAGCGTTCGAACCCAACCTGAGATAAGGAAAAAAAAATAAAAAAGAATAGCATCTGTAACTCCAGTTCCAGTGGGTTCCCCATCCTTTTCTGGCCTCCAAAGGAGGCACATTGTATACAGAAATAAATGAGACAAAACAAAACAAAAGACCTTACCCAAACCAAAATCCAAATTTTGAATAGTATGTTAAAATCCACATGACAAATTAAGGTAAAACCATAGAGCATCAGCGATTAACCGAGAGACTATTAATAATAGCACTACCTTTAAGTGCTTCACTTCCTAAGCCTCATAACTTACAAAGTAGGCATTACGCTATATTAGTTATTGTTGACTGGCAAATACTTCAAAATGCAGGGGCTTGGGTCCTGGAACCCTTCCTGCCTCCCAGCGCCAGTGGCAGGAATCCAGCATCCGTTGAGTCTGACACAGGGTCTCTCACAAGGCTGGATGTCAGTCAATGCACATGACTGAGGCTGGAGGACTCTGCAGAGGAAAGAGGGTAGCCGCCTAGGCTCCCCTCCACCGGAATACTCAGGGCAGAAGAGCTGGCTGAGGAGCAGATCAAAGCCATGGTGGAAATTAGTTACACACCCTATCCTAGTTTCTCTTCTGCTGAAGCCTATTAGCTTCAGAACAGTGAGTGGGCAGGCACACAGAGGAGAGGGGAGCCCAGAAGCCCACCTTTGGAGACTGACTTCTGGTAGAGCTCTTTACATCCAGGAGTGAGACTGAAGGTTGAGTAACCTATGAGGTCACTAAGCTCAGAAGTGGGTTAACACACACACAGTTTGTTTAGTCTTCCCAGCACTAAGTATATACTCACCCAATCCTCCGCTAACGCTAGGCAACTTAGTTGGGCAGGAACCTTAGTTGGGCAGAGCTTCTTCCCTCTGACCTTGACTTCTACCCAGCAGTTCTTTTCACTATGGTGTCCTGAGGTGGTCACCTGTGCCTTCCTGCCGCCTGTTTGGGTCAGGCCTGGGTCCACTCTCTCCTGTGCCCTGGAGAGCATGGGGCAGACAGGGCTTGTGTAGGGCCCTCAGTGCGATGACTGCCCACCCAGGTGCGGTGGACCAAGACTGCCGGCAGCGCATCGGACAAGTTCCAGGAGACCTCGGTGTTCAACGAGACGCTGCGGATCGAGCGCATCGCCCGCACGCAGGGCGGCCGCTACTACTGCAAGGCAGAGAATGGAGTGGGCGTGCCGGCCATCAAGTCCATCCGTGTGGATGTGCAGTGTGAGTCGAGGCCCCATGCGGCCCTGTACCCTGCCAGTCCGTGTCCCTGCAGACGACGGCTTCCAGGGCTGGGGAAGGGGTAGGATTGAGAAGTGGCATCATGGTGGAAGACCCCAAAGAGACATCCCTCTCTTTGGGAATGGACAGCTGTTTCTTCCAAACCTGTCCTTCATTCCCATGTCGCCCACCTCCCACGGACTCTGATGCAGCCCTTTAAAGTGGACAGGATTATAGTTCTTCCACAGGAGGAAAAGCAAGGCACCAGAGCAGGATAGCTTCCTATGTGAGTTGAGGACAGGGACAATTCCGGGATTTCCTCTCTACCACCCTGTGCAATTGTGGGCCCCCATCACAGCCCTGGCTGTACGATACACTCTCTGAGGAAAGCTTAAGATTTTATTTATGTTTGTAGTGGGGACAGGGGCACAGGACAGCTTACAGGAGTTTGTTCTCCTAGCATTGGGGAATCAAACTTCCATCATCAGGCTCTGTGGGAGGTTCTTTTACCTTCTGAGCCATCTCTCCTATCCTCAGGAATCTTTTAAAAACTGCTGATCCTTTAGCCAGGTGTGGTGGTGGTACACACCTTTAATCCCAGAACTCCAGAGGGAGAAGCAGGTGGATCTCTTGTAATTTCAAGGTCAGCCTGGTCTACAAAGCGAGTTCCAGGACAGTCAGGGCTACACAAAGAAACCCTGTCTCAAAAAAACTAAAACCAACAAACAAAAATCCTGCTGATCCCTGGGCTCAACTTCAACTTCTAGAAGTTCTTATGGGAGTGACAGGGAATGTGGCCTGATATCAAGGATGCTCTTAAGACACCAGTTCAGTAATTGTTTATATTTGCACAAGTGTAAGCGCCATTGGTTTCCAGATGTAGTGTGTTCTGACTAGGATCTAGACTAGGGCTGGTCCAACCTGTGGTCTGGAGATGACATGCACCCATTGATGGCTGTAAATAGAGCCTGGCACAAAACTCACTTACAACATTATTAGGCTCATTTTTCTCTTTCTTTTGTCCTGAGAAAGCTCAGCCATGAGCTTTCTAGATGAAAGCATCATGTCCCACTGTCAAAATGTTGGACATGCCTGCTAGGCAATTCCCTTATACCCCTTCAAGTCAATAGCACCCCATAGGTGATCATCACCCTTTGGGCATTCTAGGCATCAGTGCTAAAAAGAAATTTCAGGCTGAGATGTAGCTCAATGGGTATCAAGAGTACTTGCTGAGCATGCAGAGGCCCTGGGCGTGATTCCCCCCGCCCCCCCCCACACACACTGCATAAGTTGAGCATGGTGGTACATGCCTGTAAGACCCAAGCTTGGGTCCCAGAGGCAGGAGTATTAGAAGTCCAAGGTCAGCCTCCGTTTGCATGGTGAGTTCCAGGTCAGCCTGGGATAGGTGAGACCCTGTCTCAAAAACAAAAACAAAACTCAAAAAAGCTACAGCATAAAGAAAATCTCTGTGTCCATTAAACAGAACTGAATGCTACCCATCTCGTCTGAGTGGACAATGAGGAAATTGAAGCCCAGAAACATAGGCAGGTCACACTACAAAATCACAGCCAATGAGGGAGTTGAACTTAACTTTCAACTTGTTTCCAGTCTATGGCTGCCCATTCCAGCCTGTGAAAGGTACTGAGCTTGAGGCTCCACATAGGTCCCTTGTAGGGAGCCCCGGAAGACATTAGATTCAGTCCCCTGCCTCTAGCAACTTGGTTAACCTTGCAGAACAAAAGGCAGGCATCAGCTTCCCATGTTCTTTCAGAGTGGCTCTGCTCTCCCCAAGGGCTTCAAGGAGCCTGAGCCCCCTGCTCTGGGGTCACCTCATTTTGATTTGGGTCTGGTGTCCTTGCAGACTTGGATGAGCCCGTGCTGACAGTACACCAGACTGTGAGTGACGTCCGAGGCAACTTCTACCAGGAGAAGACGGTATTTCTACGCTGCACTGTCAGCTCCAACCCACCCGCCCGCTTTATCTGGAAGAGGGGCTCTGACACACTGTCCCACAGCCAGGACAATGGGGTTGACATCTACGAGCCTCTCTACACTCAGGTCAGGATGAGCAGCTGGCTTCCCACACTCTTGTACCCCTCAAGGATAGCCCATAAGGGGCTGAGGCCTGGTGACCTGGACTGTTGGACACTGGCCTGAGCTCAACAATTCAGCGCCTTGGTGGGAGGCAACTGTACTAGAGTTCACACAGCCTGGGGTGAAAAGTCAAAGAATAGAGAGGTCAGAGGGCACGGTGAGTCCCAGACAGCAGAGTCTTGAAGGCAACATGTTCTCCCAGAGCATGGCTGGATAGGAAAAAAACATCCAAAGGACAAGCAAACCATCTGTGCCTGCTCCTGTGGCTGAGATGGGGATCCATGGGCAGATTCTATAGGAGTTTCGGTGGAAAGGTCTCCCTCAGTCCATGTTTCCCCACAGTTCCAGGAGATGGTGACAAAGCCATTCTGCCAGGGAGGGCTTTCAGAAGGGACCGTCAGATCCTTACGTGGCCTGTGGACCTGTCCCATGTTATGTGGGTTACAAGCCACAAGTCACTCCTCCTCTTCCCAGAAAGGGACACTGAGGCCCCAATCCTGGACCTAATCTCTGGGGCTGCTTCTGCCCCAGAGAAGCCCATGGGAGCATCTTCCAGGGAAGATGGTAGGGTAGGGCTTGAGGAGATGAGAACTAGCACAGGAATTGCCTACAGTCTGTGGTTCGGGTTAGAAAAATGAATGTGGGTGACCCCAAGAGACCCAACCAGGTTCTCACTCCAATGATCTACTGCCATCCAGGGGGAGACAAAGGTCTTGAAGCTGAAGAACCTGCGACCCCAAGACTATGCCAGCTACACCTGCCAGGTGTCCGTGCGAAATGTGTGTGGCATCCCAGATAAGGCTATCACCTTCCGGCTCACCAATACCACAGGTTCAAGACTATCCCAGCCACACCCACTTGGACCCACTCCCTACCCTAACGCCCAGATCTTCCTCTCCAGCATCCCTGGGTTTCCCTCATCCCTGCCGAGTGTCCCTGGCCTCTCTTCCTACCCAGGTTTCTCTATTGCCCTCATCTCCCTCTCATTTAGCACTGGAAGTCTCCTGAGACCCAACCTCCTTGTCCCTTTAGCACCTCCAGCCTTGAAGCTGTCTGTGAACGAAACTCTGGTGGTGAACCCTGGGGAGAATGTGACAGTGCAGTGTCTACTGACAGGCGGCGATCCCCTCCCCCAGCTGCACTGGTCCCACGGACCTGGCCCACTGCCCCTGGGTGCTCTGGCTCAGGGTGGCACCCTCAGCATCCCTTCAGTACAGGCCCGGGACTCGGGTTACTACAACTGCACAGCTACCAACAATGTAGGCAACCCAGCCAAGAAGACGGTCAACCTGCTGGTGCGATGTAAGTGACCTGGAGGGGTTGGTGGGAAGTTGTGAGGTGAACAGGGTCTCTGTCCTTCAGGGACTGCAGGTGAACTGGGAGAGGGAACCATCTGGTTTTCACAGCGGATGAGGTGCATCAGGGTGCCATATTCTAGGCACACTGCTTCCCTTGCAATTCAGCAGTCTACCACTAGGGGTAGGAAAGCTGCAATTTGTAATTCAGAAGAAGGGCTGGTACTGACGAAAGTTACTTTTAGACTGGTAAATGGAGGCTGAAAACAAAACAAAACAAAACAAAAAACCCAAAAATAAATGTGTGTAATGTAGGCTTCAAGGGAAATGTCCTGGCTTTCTTTTTAGCTGCAGTTTGGCCACATTTAAGTGGCAATAACACACATTTCTATAGACCATATATGTATTAAATTTTTTTTTTTTGAGACAGTGTCTCACTATATAACTCTGGCTGGCCTGAGATTCACTATGTAGAGCAGGCTTTCCTCCACTCACAGAGATTCACCTACTTCTGCCTCCTGAGTGCTGGGATTAAAGGTGTGTATGTACAAGTCTTCAGTATCACAGAATGTCATTGAATATGAAGACCATTTACTAAGTGTAAAACAATATCAAACTTGAAGGTCTAAAGAAGTGCAGATGTGTTCCTCACCAACCCTCAGCCTTGGTTGCTTTCATTTTAGCCGCTTGTTGTAATCAATCTGGAGTTTACTGCTTCTCCTCCTCCTTCTTTTTTGCTTGTGCAGTGGTAGGTGTTTTTTTTTTTTTTTTTTTTTTTTTTTTTTTTTAAGACCCAAACTTTCGGTCCTGATGGCCCACACCTGTCATTCCAGCACTTGAGAGGTAGAGGCAGAAAGATCAGGAGTCAAGGTCATCCTTGTCTACGTAGGAAGTTAGGCTAGCCTGGGCTGCCTGACACTCAGTCTCAAAAAAACAAAACAAAACAAAACCATGGACCGGAAAGATGGCTCAGCAGTTAAGAGCACTTGCTGCTCTGACACAGGACCCAAATTCAGTTCCAAGCACCCACACTGTGCCTTACAACCACCCATAATTCCAGTTCCAAGGGAAAAAACCCTCTGCTGGTCTCCATGGGCTCTGTGCACACATGTGGTGCAATACATACACATAGATAAACACTCATACACATTTAAAACATTTTTTAAAATAACAAGTCAAAAAAGAAAAGATCCAGGCATGTTCCCAGTCCTTTAGCCTTGAAAGTCAAGTGCAGGTGCTGACAAACGGAACTGAGCCTCTTCAGACTGGCTTCTGTGTTTGCCTCTCAATGACCAGACAGTCTCTTTCCGGGTCTACTCCAGCAAGAAGCCAGCTCTTGTGTACCTGGCTTGGCTTGAGAAATAAATTAACAAGATTGGAGCTCTCTGGCCACCGCTTTCTCTTCCACAGCATATTCCTCATCAAAGATAAGTTGTCTCCATCTGATCCCACTTGACCTTGAAAACCTGAGGTAGAGAGATCTTTCTGGACATCTATAGTTGTGGTCACCTCTCAGGGTGGCTCTGCAGCCTGCCTTGTCCAGCCCAGTCCTGATCTGCAAGCCACTGTTCCAGTGTTCTGTCAAGTTAGCACCCCACCCATTAAAGGCTTGAACTGACTTCAAACAAGACCCACATTTAAAAAAGCATCTGGACCCTAAGTTTTTTAAACCATGTGATGTCATGCAATTACATGCAAGAGCATCACATTGGCTTTTTATCATAAAAAAAAAATCATGCAGGCTTGCTCTAAAGACTCAGACAGTAAAAGGGGGAGAAGTGCAATTAATTGCTCTTCAGTTTCCTTTGGGTCCATGCTAGATAGAGCAGCTATTGAGTCTCATATTCCCTTTTATATCGGTACTTTGTATACACAAGGTTGAAAATAAAGCAGTATATGGGCAAGAATGATTTGGGAGCATGTGATAGACTGACTGAGCCCCAGTTTCCTCCAGAGACAGCAGGACAGGTTAGATGCACTAATCCATGAATGATGCCTGGGCCAGCACCTCTCACTGATGGAGTGTGCTGATTAATAATGCCTGGAGCCAGCACCAATCTCACTTTTCTGCATTGAGCTCTTTAAAGCTATTGAAAAACCCTGAACCATTGGAGCCATTTCCAGACTGAAGTGTGTGTGTGTGTGTGTGTGTGTGTGTGTGTGTGTGTGTGTGTGTGTGTGTATGTATACAGGGTTGGGATGCAACCAATTTGAGAGGAGCAGCTGGGGTGGGACATGGATGCCTGTCCTTGGGTAAACCCCAGCCCTTCTTCACTCCCTACAGCCTTGAAGAATGCCACGTTCCAGATCACCCCTGACATGATCAAAGAGAGCGAGAACATTCAACTCGGCCAGGACCTGAAGCTATCCTGCCATGTAGATGCGGTGCCCCAGGAGAAGGTGACCTACCAGTGGTTCAAAAATGGCAAGCCAGCACGCATGTCCAAGCGGCTGCTGGTAACCCGAAATGACCCCGAGTTACCCGCCATCACCAGCAGCCTGGAGCTCATTGACCTGCACTTCAGCGACTATGGCACATATTTATGCATGGCCTCCTTCCCGGGATCTCCAGTGCCTGACCTCAGCATTGAGGTCAACATCTCCTCTGAGACAGGTGGGGGCATCAGGAGCTGTGGGGAAGCCAGGGAGACCCAAAGTGGTATGTGTTATGGGGGGGAAGGGGACACAACAATTTACATATGGGTGTCTAGAGGGAGGAGGGCACCATTTGTTCATGCCACACAGATTGGGTCCCTGTCATAGCCAGGCACCATGACAGGCCTTGGGGTAGAGTTATGGGAACAGTAGATGCTGCATTTCTTGAACTTGGCAGGAAGACAGACCTATTTCAGACAGGTCATGAATAAACGTATCACTGCACACTGTAATTTGAATGAGGTCTGAGGGAGGAGCTAAAGTTTGCTAAGCAAAGAGAGCCACTGGGGCCTCAGAACCAGCATATGAAAAGTCACCAAGGGGGGAGAGGAACAGTGTCTAGGAGAGTGGAATGATACAAACTCAGAGAGGCTACCCTGGGGACCTCTCAGCCATGAGGCTGGAGGTCTGAGGTCAAGGTGCCAGCAGGGTTGGGCTCCCTGGCTGGCCAGTGGCATAGTCTCCCTGTTCATGTCTATGTCCTAGACCAGGTTGGGGGAGATCCCATTGGCTTCAGCCTCAAAAAAGTCCTGCCTCAAATAAAGTCACATTTTTTTCAGACACTGGCTTTAGGATGGCAACATATGGATTTTGAGGGGATGGAATGTATCCTATGATGGGCCATGGTGAAATGAGTCAGGTCTTTATTCTTATAATAATTATTATAATATGATGAGTTGATAATAGGAAACTGAGTGTTCACTATGTATTCCTATGAGAGTATGATTTCTTTATTCACCTCTGTGACTTATGGTGGCAGAGTTTTTTTTCCTATTACTTTACTCATTTATTTTGTGTGGATATGCATGTGTGGACATGTACCGTGTACATATGTGAAATCCAGAGGACAACTTGATGAAGTTTGTTCTCTCCTTTTACCATGTGGGTCCCAGGGATCAAACCCAGGTGGTCAGGTTTGTTGCAAGTGCCTTTAACCATGGAGTATCTCACAGACCTGTCAGGGGTAGCAATTTATCTTCTCATTTTGCTGCAGAAGAATCATCCCTTAGAAACTTGAGCTTGAGAGCCCAGGCAAGGATCTGTGCTTGGCACTGTAGGAGGATGGCATGAGGCCGGGGGAGGAGGGTGATCTTTGGAAGAGGGCTCCAGGACCTTCTACTGGGAAGCCATCTGATCATGGCTGGTGAGTCACGTGACCATCACAGCGACAGCTCTAACAGTTATGAGTATTTCCTCCTTTGGCACTTAAGCTCTGGCCTCAATTTCTCTCGATGGGCAATTAGACCGAGTAGCCTCAGAGGAGGCTCCCACCCCCACATCTGCACACAGGGAAGCCCAGTGAGGCTGGAGATTGCAGAAAAGGCTTCTAAAGGGAGCCAGGCTCGAGTAGGACCTCAGAGTGGATGGGAACTCTGCAAAGAGCACACACTCATTTTGCAGCTTTGTGCAAAACTGTGGGAAGCTAAGAACCCATACTCCAGCACCCCCAGCCCCTTCCTCAGAACTCACTGTCTGGGCAAGGGAGCTAGGGCTGTTGGGAGAAGGGAGAGGGCAGGGAAAATGCTGGAACTCTTGCCTAGGAGTCTGTAAAGGGGACACTAGTGAAGGAAAGCCGGGCTGCCTAGGAAGTCAGAGAAGGCTTTCTCTAGGAGGTGTGTTCCATGTGAGTCTTAGAGGGTGCTGTGGGCTCTGCCAGGTGAGGGGTACAACACGAAGAAAGAACTCAGGGAACCCACAGTGTAGGAGACTAGGTGTGTCTCAGGGTAGGTGAGTGGATTCCTCACAAAGGTGTCATGCAGCTGGGACACAGACGGGAGTGGGATACCAGGTCACAGATGGGAGTTGAGGCTGTGGTTTATGGAGGGCAGAGTCTGAGGGACTTTTCCTCAGAGCCTAGTACAGAGCCTTAACCCGAGGGCACATGGTGGGAGGCAGCTCTTCATCCTGGGGGGTCTGGAGGTGTCTGACTCAGGGAGGTGGCTTCTGCATTTGCCTCACAGGACTGATACCTGGAGCAGAGAAGCCTTGTAATCACCTCTGGGAACAATTTAAACCCAGAGGGTAGGTGGATGGGGAGTGGGGGGGACATGAATGAACTGGCTCCAAAATACAAAGAGAAAGCCATGAAAGGAAAGCCAATAGATGCACAAATATTGGCAGGGCACAATTTATATAAACTAGATATCTGGACCTTCGCCTGGTTTATACAGTTATTTACAAATAATTGCTTTATATTTAATTATATTTAATGTTCAATACTTGACGTTTAATGATAAAACATTTGATGTGGGTTAAGACCCAGGGAGGTCTTCTCAAAACCCTCCATTTGGCAGTGTGTTGGGGTGGAGTGGGTTCAGCTGTGAATAACAGAACTCTAATTAATAGTGATTTAAGCACAGGGTGTGGCTCAGCTGCAATGCTGCTGACTTAGCATGTTTCAGGTGCGGGGTCCATGCACAAAGCACACAGACTAGATGTGTGTTGCCTCATCATATGGAAGGCTGGTGAGCCAACTGGTTTAGGGTAGCGACTGGTCTCTGAAAGTCTCAGGACTCCAGAAGCACTGCTTGTTGTCACCTCCTTCATGATGGAAGTTCCACCTGCAGCCAGTGATCTACTTTGATCCGCAGGAAGACATTTATTTTCTTTAATATCCCATTCCCAGCAGCATGCTGGGAAATGTAGTCTTTATTCTGTGTGGTGTGCCCTTCTGAAACCAAGTGTCCTTATTACTTTGGAAGAAGTGATACAGGATGTCAGGAAAGAGACTCAATGTGGTGTGCTGATATCGAAGTCAAGAAACGCTGGAGAGATGGCTCAGTTGTTAAGGGCAGAGGACAGGAGTTTAGTTCCCAGCATCAGCTTTGGAAATCCAGGGAGCTTATAACCTTTTGTGACTCTAGTTTCCAAGGACCTGGTGCCCTCTTCTGACCTCCTTAGACAATGCATACATGTGTGTATACACATGCATATACACACAAATACATAGAAAGATAAATCTCTATGTAACACTGAAGGGCCAGAAGTAGAAGGTCTGGGAAGGGAGAGGTTTAAAATACTTGAGAGAGTCTGAAGCAGGAGGATGAGTTCAAAGCTAGCCTCGGCTACGTAGTAAGTTCAAGGTCAGCTTGTGTAGCCTTCAGGAGCTCTTTTCTCACCTCTTGCACGTCAAGAAGAAAAAGCAGGACACTCTTGTGTGGATGTTAGGAAGTGGAATGGTTAGGCTGACTTCGGGGCTCTTTCTGAGTTGGGGGAGCCTGAGGTGGAGATGTAGGGAGTGGAGAGGCCTGGAGAAGGCCACTGCACTGTGCTTTGGACATTCCAAGGGGCTGTGGGGCCCACGTGCTGGATAAGGGGCAAAGGCAGAACCCCTCGTCAGAGACCAGGGGTCCCTAACTCCGTCCACTTTTCTCCACCCTCCTTCAGTGCCTCCCACCATCAGTGTGCCCAAGGGCCGTGCAGTGGTGATTGTGCGGGAGGGCTCTTCTGCCGAGCTCCAGTGCGAAGTGCGGGGCAAGCCCCGGCCACCCGTGTTGTGGTCTCGGGTGGACAAGGAGGCCGCCCTGCTGCCCTCTGGGCTGGCCTTGGAAGAGACTCCAGACGGGAAGCTGCGGCTGGAACGCGTGAGCCGAGACATGAGTGGCACCTACCGCTGTCAGACAGCTCGTTACAATGGCTTCAATGTACGACCCCGGGAGGCTCAAGTGCAGCTGACAGTGCATTGTGAGTCCCCTCCCCAGACACCCAGCCTAGGCCAACCCCACCCCTCCACCTACTGTTTGCACACCTAAAAACTTCTTGATGACCCTTCCACCGAGGCACAGAGAATTTAAGTAATTTGACTCGGTTTGCACAGCAAGGCTTGGATTTGAACTAGGTCTAGGGACATTGCTCCAAGCGCTGTGGCTTTGAGGTCTTCAGTTACGTGTTGGTCGAGGGACCCACTAAGGTACAACCAGAGGCCCAGTCTGGGAAGCATGGTTGAAGGGCAGTCTGAGCTTGGCTATTGTGTGAATGAGTTGTGAGTGTGTATCGGCCCTAAGAGCCTCCCAGGTCAGGGTCACGGGACTGGGGGTACAAATGAGCCTCCTCCTCCATTGTCCTACTGACGGCAGCCCTGGTCCCCAGTCCCGCCAGAGGTGGAGCCCAGTTCCCAGGACGTGCGCCAGGCTCTGGGTCGTCCCGTGCTCCTGCGATGCTCGCTCCTGCGCGGCAGCCCTCAGCGCATTGCCTCGGCCGTGTGGCGCTTCAAAGGACAGCTGCTTCCCCCTTCACCTGTTGTCCCTGCCGCTACCGAGGCCACCGATCACGCTGAGCTGCGCTTGGATGCCCTGACCCGTGACAGCAGCGGCAGCTACGAGTGCAGCGTCTCCAACGACGTGGGCTCAGCCACCTGCCTCTTCCAGGTCTCCGGTGAGTGTCTGGTCTGCCCCACTCCCGCTTTCCTGCCCACGCCCACCCGGCCCAGTCACACCTGGCTGAGCATCTGCAGTCAGGCTTCTGCAAGCCTTAGGCTTTTCTCCTTCCAAGACCGGCCCATGCCAGGTGTAGACCCCGCCCCGTGGAGCCTAGATCCAATCCTTGATCTCCTCTCAAGAGGCTTGAGGGCTTGAGGCCTGTCCCCTCAAGATCACGCCCCTTCCACCCCTGTGCTAGGCTTTCTCCTTAAGGATCCTGCTGGTGACTGGTCAGTCTCTTTCTTTGGCCTCCTACAGCCACGCTCCTTTCAAATCCAATCTCTGCAAAGGACCATAGTAGATTTAGAAGCCTTCAGCCTCTTCCAGCCCTGTGTTCGCTCCTGTCCCTCCAACCCCGCTCACACTCAATACTTGGACCCAGTACCATAACTTCTCTCTCCATGATTCCTGGCCCCGCGGTCCTTAGTCTCAGAGGCTTCGGATGGGGAAAACCATTGAGTACCCTGCATATAGCTTGGAGAATAGAAGATGCTCCTAAAAAAACTGGGGAATGTTGGGGCCAGGCTGGGCTAGCCAAAACACAATCCCCCCTAGCCCTCCCCCCTTGATACCCTAGAAATGCAAGCTGTTGGATGTTCAGACATCCTTCTCAACCTCTCTTTTGCATCAGGCCTCTCCCTGTCCATGAGCCCAGAGGGCTGCTGATGGGCCAGGATGTGGGGGGGGGGGCAGAAAGGCTGAGAGGGCCAAGGCCAAATACAGGCTGCCTGGGTGGCCAGTGGCCTTTCACTTCGTCTTTCCTTTTTGAGAGCCGCCTGCCTGCCAGATCTGGTGACAGTGAGCCTGGGAGACCTGTTTCCCTGTTGCCTGGCACCCTCAGATTTCTCAATGGCCCCTCCAGGGCACCGGGTGTCCCCGTCAACTCCTATACCACTTGATCGCCTGAATAGCACAGCTAGAGCTCCACCCACTCAACTTTGCCAGCCAGAGGCCCCTGTGACATTTCCCACCTCCTTCCCTTTCCCGGTTCCCCTACTTTCCCTGTCTCCCCACTTTTGACCTCCACCCTTCATTTCTTCTTTCTTTCCTCTATATGCCTGGCCCTCGTCTTTACCAATCTTTCTCTGTTTCTTCCTTGGCCTTTCCTCGCTATTCTCACCATCATCGCCTCTTGGACTTACAACCTCCCCCCACCACTCCTTTCTACCCCATCCCTTACCTCACCTGCATCCTCCCCAACCCCTCTCCTCTCAACGCCAACTCTCCTCACAACACCCCTTTCTCTTTGTTGCTCCCATCTCTGACCCTCCCCCTCCCATGGCTCCTCTCTCCCTGTCTCTCCCACCTCCACCCTCCACGGCCCCATGCCCCCCTCCCTGCCCTCTCAGCCAAAGCCTACAGCCCGGAGTTTTACTTCGACACCCCCAACCCCACCCGCAGCCACAAGGTGTCCAAGAACTACTCCTATGTGCTACAGTGGACGCAGAGGGAGCCAGACGCTGTGGATCCTGTGCTCAACTACAGACTCAGTATCCGCCAGGTGGGCTGGGAGTCGTGGGGGTGGTTAGGTGTGGCCAAGGGGGCGTGGTGTGGTGGTGGGTCCTGGAAATAGGGAAGGGGAGGAGTTACCGGACACAGCCCCTCCTCCACAGAAGAGTCTGGATGTAGCAGCCAGAGCTGGGAGCCTTTGTGGAGCACTGTGCCCTCCGAACTGTCCCTAGGCACAGCTGAGAACCAGACGCAAGACGGCTGGGTAGCATTTACAACCGGGCGGTGGTGGCTCAGGTCTTTAGTCCCAGCACTTGGGAGGCAGAGGCAGGAGGATCTCTTTGAGTTCGAGATCAGCCTGGTCTACAAGGACTAGATCCAGGACAGTCTCCAAAACCACAGAGAAACCCTGTCTTGAAAAACCAAAGGGGGGGGGGAGGGTATAAAAGAAAAAGAATGAGCATTTACCCTGGTCTTCAGGGATGACAGCAGGGGCTCTGTGAGACAGAGCCCGAGTCTGTGAGCTTTCTCATGCCTGCCTGGTCCAATCTATGCCCATGAGGCAGTCGTGGGAGGGGAAGACTGTGGCCCTTGGGGACAAGACCTGGGGAGGGCAGAGGCTCTTTTGGCCCTCATTTGCTTATCTGTGAAGAGGGGCAATGTTACTATTTCATCTCAGAGGACTGTTGTTTTGAGTATTAATTAGATGAGTTATGATGCCTAAGCACTTTATAGTACCATTATATATCCTTGGTGGTATAGTGACAGCACTGGAAAGGGGCCTGAAACATCAAATTGTCCCATCTCAAAGATGGGGAAGCTGAGGGCCAGATGTTCCAGACTTTTGCTCTTTCTTCTCCCCTGAAGCATTCCAGGGCCTGCCCCTCCCTTCCCCTGCCCCTCCAGGGGAGGCTATGGCCTGCTGGGCATCTGGGAACTCCCCTGTATCCACAGTTGAACCAGCACAATGCCATGGTCAAGGCCATCCCCGTGCGGCGTGTGGAGAAGGGGCAGCTGCTGGAGTACATCCTGACTGATCTTCGTGTGCCCCACAGCTATGAGATCCGCCTCACACCCTACACCACCTTTGGGGCTGGTGACATGGCTTCCCGAATCATCCACTACACAGAGCGTAGGTGATGGTGGTGGTGGCGGCTCTGGTGGTAGCAGGAGGGGTGGGCCCATTGAATACATCCCTCCTAGACAGTCCTTGACCTTGGAGCACCCCATTGTGCACGCTTACCCTGGTATTGCAGGCCAGGCCTGCTGGCCTCTAGTCGGTGGATATGAAGACTCTTCCCTCACCCCACCCCCAGCCTGGGTACACTTTGCATAGCCATACACCTCAGTACTAACTTGGTTTGGTTTCCTTGCTTGCTTTTTCAGCCATCAACTCGCCCAACCTATCAGGTGAGACCCCAGTCCTTAACTTCCCCTACCCACTAGGGACACAGAGACTCTCCTGATGGGACATAGGGACCTTAAGATATTCTCAGAGAGAGAAATAAATTCTTCCGGTGTTTCCATGGAGAAGGGCCAGCAACAGAGGATGGGACTGGAGATGCTTTGCTGGAGTTTGTTCTGGGGCTTAAAGACTGCATGTTGGTGGAGGGCACTGTCCACCAGTAATGGACAAGTTGGGATGCCCAGATTTCATCTGTTTCTGCAATAAAATTCCCTAAATTAAAAGCAACTTAGGGAAGACAGGAAGCAGGAGGCTAGTCTGCGCTGCTGGGCTCCTGCAAGGGGGGGGGGGTCTGAATCTGAAGAGGTGCAGCATTACTTATTTATTTTCCCAGCTTCTGACAGAAATTTAACAGGCTCTTTAATGATGAGCATAGACAACAAGCCACAGCAGAATAATCAGTACCTGTTACTTTGTCATCTGCAGATACCCAATGTTTTCCCATCGCCTTACAGTTGTTGCAGACATCTGTAAATGTCATTTTTATTCATTAGTATTTCAGAGCCACAGTAGTTATTAGACCTAACTCTAGATCTTCTGATTTAATTATATAATAAAGAGGCCCTGTTATTATATAAAAGATTACAAGAATATTTTGACAACTGTATTTCAATATAATTGATTTCCTTTGAAGTCCTTGTGTATTTTATTGTATGTGTCTACAATCATTATTGTGGAAGGAAGTCTTAAACCAGAATGCATGCAGTCCTGTTCCTGAATAAATCTGTCCCGGACCCCACTGCCTGGTATCTCTGGCCCTGAAGCCCTGGGCCCAGATTTAGATTATTTAAAGTTGACTTAGGGATGATAGGAGGAGGGCAAGGATAGACAAAGGGGGCTGAGGCTGAGACTGTTTGTCCCACCCCCTGTACCCTTCACGAAGACAACACCTGTCACTTCGAGGACGAGAAGATCTGCGGGTACACCCAGGATCTGACAGACAACTTTGACTGGACTCGGCAGAATGCTCTTACCCAGAACCCTAAGCGCTCTCCCAATACTGGTCCCCCTACTGACATCAGCGGCACCCCTGAAGGTGAGGATAGGACCTCTTGTTAGGAGTAGAGGGTGGCCTCTGGGAGGGGTCTAGGCCTATGGACCCCCAGTCTGAGAGTGAAGGGGACCCTGTGAGGGAGACAGAACTCTGGCCTGATTGAAGATCAGAAAGGAAGAAAATTGTCCATAGAACTGAGCACTTCTGAACTCCGAGCAGAGCCCTGCAAGGCTGGGTGAGGAGCCTTGGTTGGGATGGGCTTCGGCAGCTTGTTCTAGGTCTGAAGACCAAACAGGGAGGAAAGCAGCTGTACAGAGTCTGGGTGGCTGAGGAGAGGCTGCTAGTACCCCACTACTCTCCCCCCCCACACTGCAGGCTATTACATGTTCATTGAGACATCCAGACCTCGGGAGCTGGGGGACCGTGCAAGGTTGGTGAGTCCCCTGTACAACGCCAGCGCCAAGTTCTACTGTGTCTCTTTCTTCTACCACATGTATGGGAAACACATCGGTGAGTTGGAGACTGCAATTCTGATGGTGTGAGCTGCTTGGGGAGGATGAGGGAGCCACAGAACAACTCAGGACTTGCCAAGGAGGCTGATGCTTCTCAAGTGGGCTAACCTTGGAGTTGGGGAGGGGCAAGTGGTGCTGAGGATGGAGAGTACAATTTAGCTGTTTTGGTTGTGTGTCAGCTGCTTGCAAGGTACTGGGATCCATATAACTGAGAGGAGTTCAGCATTTCCTCAAGACCACATAGCACAGCCACCCAGTTCTGGTTCCCCTGAATCTTAAAACACAGCATTGGAAGAGTATGTCTCCCTGAGCCGTGAGGGGAAGTGACTTAAGGACCTCCAGATGAGGAGAGAGGTCAAGTAGGAGCATCACTTTCCAGCCATGAGCCCACCAGCCAGCATCCATCTCTTTGATGCAGCAGATAAATGGACAAGTCCCTGTCCTTCAGACTGCTAATGGCATCTGATAGGAGTTAGTGACCACTGTGGTAGTGGAAGGGCAGCACCATGACAGCAGATGACAAGGGAGACAGGGTTCATCTGGAGGCTGGGCTTGGGAGACTGCCGAGAACATGAAGATTATTTAAGTGTGGTTTATGCTGGGCGTGGCCGTGCATGCCTTGGATCTCACACGTTTTAGGAAGGAGAGGCAGGGGTCAGTTTGAGGCCTGGTCTACATAGCCAGTTCCAAGACAGCCAGGACTAGACAGTGAGACCCTAGGGAAGAGCTAATGTATTTTACAGAGACTGAAAGTTGTAAGAGTGTGGTACACAGCTCCTCCTGCTCTTCCTGGTCCCGCCACCACTATAGAAGGCAGTGCATGGTGCCTCTCTCCCCGCACTGTTTTATACTCTGTTTCTATACTCACCATTTCCCTCTGCGCCATCCATCATCCTGGCAAGTCTTCCTTATCGGTCCACTAAACCTTCCTCGCTGCCCTTGTATGCTCTCCCCACACCCCCCTTGCCCTGCACAGCTGAGGGAGGGACTTTAAGGTCCACTCTGGGAAGTTTCCACATGGAGGAGGGTCATGCCAAATGGATGAACCAAGGATGAGGTGAGATCGGAGATTCTGCACTCATAGAGCCCCACCCCAACCATCTACAGAGACCAGCACTGTGCCTGGGTCTGGAGAAGTTTCACCTGTGGTGGGAAAGATGGTGACCCTGGCTGTCTAAATGTTTCTGTTTAGTTTCAGAGCAGTCGATTCATTCTGTCCTCCCTAGTCTTAGTGGTGGATCACCATCAGCTTGGAGTGGTCCTGGGCATCCAAGTGTCAGGGGGACACAGAGGGTATATGCCTGGGGGGGGTTGGGGAGACAGAAAGCCTGAGGGAGCAGGCTCTGTGACACACAGACCTTGCTCTGGGTTTCCCAGGGGCAGACCAAACACTGGCTTGGGCTGGGGCAACATTGGGCCTGCTAAGGGGACCTTTCATCATCAGACCTGTGGGTCACCAGTGGGCTATTCCAGAGGTGAAAGGACATCCCACTTGTGGACACAACTATCCAGCTGTGTAGACTCCATCCCGGATTATGCAGCTCTTCTGCCCAGGACCCTTTGACCCTACCTGTCACCATCTTCATGTCTCCCATGCTCTAACCCCTCTCTGACCTTGTTTGACATCACCTGATGCTGATACCCCATCCCTCGTTTGAACCTGCCAGGCACATTCCTGACTCTGAGGGCTTTGCTCAGACTGTCTCTGGCCCAGAATGCTACTCCCTCCTTCACTCAGGTCTCCTGGGGCAACCCTTCATGAGCCCATCCAACACGACTGTCTTTACCTTTCCTCAAATTGCTTGTTGTCTTGCAAGTGTGTGACTGTGGAAGATGGGGCTTGCATATATATAGGTCTGTGCGTGTGTGCACCTTCGTGTGGGGTTCAGAGATCAATCATCTGGCTTTGTTCCTCTGTCAAGTTCCACCTTGTTTGCTTTTGTTTTGAGGCAGGGTCTTTTTATGTAGCTCTGGATGGCCTGGAGCTCACTATGTAGTCCAGGCTGGCCTCATACTCACAGAGATTCACCTTCCTTGCCTTCTGTATACTGAGATTAAAGGTATGTGCCAACCTTAATTTTTGAGAAAGGGTCTCTCACTGAACCTGGAGCTCACTGATTCTACTAAAGAGACAACACTTAAAAAATATCTGCTGTTCTTGAAGAGGACCTGGGTTCAATTTCTGATACCCACATGATTGAGTACCCTGTTGTACCCACAGGCTCAAAATAGCCTGTAACTCCTGTTTGGGGGCATCTGATGCCCTCTTCTGACCTCTGTTGGCATCAGACACACTGAGTGGTACACATACATATTTGCAGGCCAACATTCATACATATAAAAAATGAATAAATCTTTTTAAAAGATTGTTTTTGAGACAGGAACTTATGTAGCCCAAACTAAACTCAAAATTGTTTTGTAGTTGAGGGCTTGTAAGTACCTGAAAAAAACTGGTCTGGGATCTATTGAAGCCAGGTGGCCATTTCCTGTTCTGCTGGGACAAGTAGCCACCCTGTTAGGGGCCCATCCCTGACTGATGAGGCCTTGCCAGCCTTGAGCCTGGCTCTGCTATGTAAACCCCCCCCCCCCGCCCGACACACACACACAGGCGCTGTGCCTGGCAGCTTTAGACACCAGCTGTCCCTAAACTTTGTGTCTCGTCAGCTCTCCTTGGTCCCAGCCAGCTCCTTTCATCCAAGGCAGGTAACATTTGGTGACTCTCCCTCCATGTGGGGGGAGGGAAATGTCTGTCTATCTGGCATCACAGATGGTGCAGCTTTGTCTGTAGACAACACCATGGAAATGCCAGCCACCAGCCACCTCTGAAAATGGATTTCCCTTTGCTGCAGAGCCACGTCTCTTGTGCCATGGCAGTGGTCATGAGGGGCTGAAAGACGCATCCAGGGGATATAGCACCTGTGTGACTTTCAGTATGCTGAACCTGCTGCTCTCCTAGTAACCCCCCCCCCCCAGCACTCCTAGGATCCCAGATCCTTGAGGCTGCACCTCAGCACCCCTAGGCTAGTGTCCTTCAAATCTTACCTTAATTGTATTCACCATAGCCATGTAACCCTCAGATGTATGTCCTTAAATAAACTCATTCTATGTTTCAGCAGTTTTTTTTGTTTTGTTTTGTTTTGTTTTGTTTTGTTGTAGCTTTGTCTTAGCATCAGTATTAGAGAGAGCATGGCTCAGAAGACTAGCTTTACCCAGTGCATAAGATGTCCAAATAAGGAGCTGGGGAGATGGCTTAGCGGGTAAAGTGTTTGCCACCCAAACATAACCTGAGTTCAAATCCCCAGCACTCATGGCAAAGCTGAGTGGCAGTGCATATCTGTAACTGATGGGGGTGAGGAGATGGGGACCAAGACAGGCAAATTCCAGGGGCTTGCTAGCAAGCCAGCTGTCAATCAGTGAGCTCTAGGGTCAGTGTACAAGAAGATGCCTAATGTTGACCTCTGGCCTACACACACACACACACAAATAAAATAAGTATCTATATATAATTTTTTAAACTATACAAATAAATTAAAACGGTAGGTCCCTTTGTGCACCCCAGTAACCATGTACCTCCCATCTGCGTGTGCACTTGCGCCCTGAGAATCCTGTCTGAGCCGAGGTGAGGGGTGTGCCTGTTCTGGGATGGTCTCCCTCCTGGATGGGGATGGCAGGATGTGTGTGTGTGTGTGTGTGTGTGCACGGCCTGCTTCATTGATTATACAGAAAATAAAGGAAAAAAGGCAGGAACGATGCAAGCCCGCAAGCCCATCTGGGGACAGGAACAGATCCCATTAAGCAGGGCAGTGCTGTGGGCAGTGGTGAGGGAGGGAGAGGCTGGCTATGGAAGGCAAGAAGGCCAGGGTGTCACTACCAACCTCACCACACCCTCTGTTCTCCTGCCAAAGGCTCCCTCAATCTTCTGGTGCGGTCCAGGAACAAAGGCACTGTAGATACGCATGCCTGGTCCCTCAGCGGCAACAAGGGCAATGCGTGGCAGCAGACCCATGTGCCCATCAACCCCAGTGGGCCCTTCCAGGTGAGTCGGTGGTGAAGGCTGTTCCTAGGGCAGGTGGCTGTCCTGGCCAGAGGCTCTTAGGGAGGTCCTGTGCAGGTTCCTGGGAGGGTAAGGCTGGGGATGGGGGGCTTCCAGGTAGCCTGAGGTGAAAAGGTGGGGAGACTCTGGTGCCAGGCCCAACTTCCCCAACCCTTCCCCCACTCTCTGACCCCACCCCAGATTATTTTTGAGGGGGTTCGAGGCTCGGGCTACCTGGGGGATATTGCCATAGATGATGTCACACTGAAGAAGGGAGAATGTCCCCGGAGACAGATGGATCCCAACAAAGGTATGTGACTTGAAGTGGGTTGGGGGATGGGGTGGGAGGAGGGCTGCTAGGGAGGGCTTTAGGGTGCATGGACTCGGAGAAATGTTAATGAGCACCCACTTGGGCACCACTCTGATCAGACGGTGAGGGAAAGGGAGGACTGAAAGAGGCCACGGGCCCTGCCTCCCCTCGGCTTGCTGACATGTCTGCAGTACGTGCCTGTAGCCCAAGTGTTTCCAATACCGAGAGCTCGGGTTGACCGAGCAATGACCGTGTAATGCATAGCAGGCTTTGCTTAATGCCCCTGGCATCTCCCTAGAGTACCAAATACTACTAGACTCATTTTGTAGGTAAAGAAACTGAGGTCTAGTCCTTTGCTCTGTGTCTTGGTGAGCATGAACAGCAGCACGCTGTGTTAACCCTCAAGAGTGTGAACTTCCTGTGATAACTGTACAAATTCCCACCTTCAGGATTGCTTCACCCCCTGAAGAGAAGCAGAGTCATGGGGTGCCTCATGCCTATCTTTCTGTCCCTCCCCACACATACTGGACCTAACCAGAGCCCTGGCCTGACTCTTCTCTATCTTGTGTCACAGTGGTGGTGATGCCAGGCAGCAGAGCCACCCGCCTGCCCAGCCTGCAGCTTTGGACATCCATGGCCATCTCCCTCTTGGCGTTGCAGAGATGATGAGAGCTGTGTGGCCCCCACACCCCACCCTGCCCCCGGCACACCAAAGTGTCCACATCGTACCAAAGACTGACTCCTGCCAGCCGGGGTGCCCAGGGGCGGGGCCGGCCCGCCAGGGAGGGGGCCTTCATTGGTTGCAAGAATAAGCGGAGAACATGGACAGAGGCCAGGCCAGGCTCTGGTGGTTGTTCAACACACGCACACACTCACACACTTACACTCACACACACAGATATATTAAAGCACAAGTTTCTATCCAACCTGCCAGCACCTTCTTTACTATGGAGACAAGGGACTTACCCGAATGGCATCCGGCACCTCCAAGGACCTCGGTGTGACACTGGCCTCCTCTTAGCTGCACTGCACTGTTTCTGACCTTGCCCTGTCCCCTGACTCAAGGCCAAACTCCAGCCCAGAGGCTTTCCGAAGGGAGCCAGGTGTGGGCAAACACATCAGACTTGTGCTGTCTGGATGGAGGTCACAGGGATCAGAGGCAGGCCAGGTGGGACTCTGTGAGCTCTCTGACTGTCCCTTGATCAGCGGCCGAGAAGGAAGAGGCACCTGCTGCAGGCAACTGTCCCCAGAGTGTGGAGACAGGCTGGATAGTTGAGGCACCGATCAACTCAGACCCCCTTCCCTGTCCCTGAGATGTCATATTCCCCTCCCCACTGTGCCCCATTGGAAGGGACCCAGCACAGGGCTTAGGGTATGTGCAGTGTGAGGACTGCCCTGCATCCTGCCCCACTCCAGATAATCCAAGCTTGGGACTTCTGGAGAAGCTGATGGTGTGTGAGGAGTGGTGTCCATGCCATTTTCCCAGGTGGGGCTAGGCTTTGACAGGAACACAGAGTCCCATCTCTGCGATTCCATGTTCCCACAGAGAACAGTGAGCTAGTTCATGAGTGGAGTGGGTCCCCTGTTTCTTAGGTATTTAATCTGATAGGGAGTTCTGGAAGGAGGAGGTCAAGGAGGATAAGACACTGTCTAGTCAACTGTGGGTGATGGATAGAGGTGGCTGTGGCTCCTTGTCCCCTGGGAGATGGGAAGAGCTCTTTGTCCTTGGAGCTTGAAATTGATGGGATAGGGTCTAGAACTTTCCTCTTTGATCCCCTTTACCCCCTCCCCAGCTTCCATGGGAGAGCAGAATTCTAGCCCCTTCTAGAATGAGTCTATGTACATGTGCCTGTGGTGTGTCTGTGTCTGGGTGTGTCTGTCTCTGTGTGTAAGAGTGTGCGTGCCCATCTGTGTCTGTACCACTGTGCACATCTCTGGGTGGTCGTATACAGGAAAATGAGACCAAGTACAAACTCATTCTCTGTGACTGTCAGTGTGCATTTTTCATCTTAATGACATGAAAAGTTTGTGGGGGTCCTGGCCCCATTTGCAGCCTCAGACTGCCTGCCATAGCCTAAATCTTTCATCTCCTGTGGATGACAACTTACAGATGACTCTTTGAAGGCTAGCCCCTTGGCTGGAGGTGTGGCACAGGGCTCCCCCCTGTGCATTTGGGGGGACAGCTGCAGAGAAGAGGCTGGGACTACCCCACCCCCAGCAGTACCAGGAGGCACACTGAGGATCAGGACTTTTGTTGCCCAGCCCCCAACTCCACCTGGCCTGTGTCGTCATCATCATCATCATCATCATCATGGGTTGCTGGATTCTCAGGCCTAGACCTTCTGGTACCCAACCAGTATGCCTGCCTTCCTGGCCCCTTCGAGGCTTCTGTCTAAAGAGAGTTGCTCTGGTTTCCAGAACACGCTTCCATGGCATCTGCTGGGTATTGCTCCTTAATTGTCCCATCTGTGCGGAGTCTGTTGCCCCCAACTAGACTGTGAGTCTCTCTCCCTCTGAGCCCCTCCTCCACTCCTGCTGGCATAAGGGAGACTAGGGTGGAAACCAGGTGGAATGAATTCTATAAGCCAGTGGTCCCTAGCCCTGGCTATAGAACCAATCCTCCAGGGGTCTTCTAAAAGTACAAATGCTTGGGCCTCGGCCTGGGGGTAGGTGATCTAATGGTAGCAGGATGCAGCCTAGCATTAGAAACATTGAGAGGTAGCTTAGCACAGTTGAGAGGGGGAGTGTAGATCCTCTCAAATCCAGGGTCTCTAGGCCAGTGCCATGATGGAGAGATAGCTCCATGCCTTCCTCCATGGGGTTCCCACTCCACCCTAAGCCTGCTTCTCCTCGTCTGCCTATTGTCCTGGCTACTCTATTGTGGGGTCTCCTCTCTCCTTTTTAGCTCTATATCTCAGAGCCGGACACAGGAAAGGTGCACAGTATGGGTTGACCCCATATTCCAGAAACTTCCCAGTGGTGAGAGCAGCCTGAGGGTGTGTGGCCTGAGATTGCAAAGCCTGTCTGCTAAGAAGCCTATCATCGGGGCTGGGGTGTAAATGTCTGTGTGAGCCCGTGGTGTGCGGGACCTGGGATGTCAAACATGTGTCTGTGCTGGAAGCTATTAGGTGTATGCAGGGCTGAGAGCCTAAGTGTGGCTATAGGGTAGGAGCTTTTGCCCATGGGTGCCTGTGAATCAGCATTCCTGTATGTGTCTTGCGGGTCAGTGTTGGGATAGGTGACCATGACCATCGCAGTCCCGGGAGACCAGGCTGATGGGGTCTAGCATATCTCTTCAGTGGAAGCCTCACTCTCTGTGTTGAGGGAACAGAGGAAAATTATGGCCTTAAAACAGGGGCCCCAGGGTCAGTTTACAAGATTCTGGGGCGCTTTTACCCCTGGCCCCTGCAGGTTAGTGTCTTTTGGGACAAGGAGATTCTCAGCTTGCCAGTGCTGCCCCCGGGGACCAGAGGTAGGCTCCTGGGGATGCATCATTCATCAGAAATCCATGCCTGCTCCTCCCTGCACATTCCTCCCATCGTTCCTCCTTCCCCATCCACTGTCTTTCTCTGTTCTGTGGGAGCACCTGTCCAGGCTAGCAGAGCCAGGATGAGCCTCAGACATGCCAGCCTTTCATGGATCAAATGCAGAAGCTGGAATGGAGAGAGGCAGGGCTGGCTCAAGCCTTGGAAGCCAGTGCTACAGCCCTGAGGGTGTCATGTCTCTGGCCACTGCTCCCGGAACCTCTTACCTGACTGAATAGTTACAGGCAGCTGAGCGGAACTGACCCTTCTCTGGGTGCCATCCCTGCTGCTGGGCCTGTCACACATGTGACAGGTGTCATGGGGATTATTTTTGAGAGAGAAACCATCTCCCTGTCCTATTCTGGCCTCTTCTCCCACAGCACAGTGACTCCCAGCCCCGTGGACAGCACGGGTGCCACATGGAAGCCATCATTCTCTGTCAACACTGGCTGTAGCCATTGCTCCTCCCCCAGACTTTAGACAGAGGAGACTTTGTTTTCCCACTGCCCGCTGCTGTGTGCACAGGAGGCTGGGCTGGGAACCAAAGCTAACAGATGCCCATGTTCTCATCCCCCTGACATCCTCCCCAGGACCAGGAAGGCCATGGAGGACGTGCAATGTCCTTGGGTTTTCCTCTGCTTGGACAGCTCCATGGGGCTGGGGGTGGGGAGTGGGTTTCCAGGGAATGTCCTAGGAGTGTGACAAGAGACATTGTTCTGGGGAGTTCCTCTAGGCCACTGGCTGAACTCAGATTCTGCCTTCATTCTGTTCTGTCAATGCTCTGTGTGTATGTGTGTGTACTTGCGTGTGTGTCTATGTGGGTGCGTGTATGTGTTTGTGTGTCTCTGTGTGTGTATGGGCAGAAGGACCAGTCTTTTCTGGGGATCTCTTGACCATTAGCACTGGAAGGGACCTTAGAGTCATCTAACTCAGTGTGCCCGTTGTACAGGTGGGGAAACTGAGGTTCAGAGAGATGGCACCTGCCCATCCCCATCCTTCTCCCTTCCATGTGTGGCCTGTCTTCATCGCCCAGGGGCCCTGTTAGAAATGCTCTCCCTCCTAGCACCTTCCTGCCCTTCACCCACACACCCTGTTTCTCTCCATCTTAGCCCAGCTGGGCAGGAGGGGGAGTGTCCCAGGGCATCCCAGGTACCAGCATCCCCTGCCCCAGGGCAGCCTGCTCACAGGTCCTTATCTCTGGCCCATAGGGACAGGAAAGAGGGACTGTTTGAGTCCTGGGGCCTCATAGATGGGAGGAAACTGTCCCCATATGCCCAGGCCCTCATGTCTGCCCCGCCCCACCCTGCCCCTGAGGTAAAAGCACAACAGGAGATCCCCTCTCACGGGTGACATGCCTTGGGGTCGCCTTCGGTCTCACGACCCTGCCTCACCCCTTTGCCTTGCTCTGTCTCCATCCAGCCTCTGTTCCTCATCACCAATCTTTCTCTCTTCCACAAACCCCAAAATGTAACCTCTAGTCGCGGCCGCGGTTGTTTCAATCAATAAAGATGCAGTGTTCTAGAACTTGGGGCCAGCCTGTGTGTGTTGGGCTTCAGGGAGAGAGAGCAAGGTGATGGGCTGGGCAGGGGCAGCCTTTCTTCTCTTTGCCATCTGTCACTGTGACTTAGACAGAGGGTACCTGTGTCCTGTCTGCCCACAGTGAATCTTCGTTCTGTTTATTTGTTACACAGATACAAACACTGCTGTCATGCCGTGCGGTCCCTCGCCTAGTGGGAGAGATAGACAGGGAGCTAAGGCTGACATGAAGACGTGTATCGTGGAAGCAGAGGACTGGCTATCAAAGAGAATTTGGGTTCAGGACCTGGGGGAAGACATTTCTTTTTAAAAGAGACATTTAGTTAAGTGTGGAGTATGCTTGCTATCCCAGAACAAGGGAAGCCGAAGCAGGAGGATCTTGAGTTTGAGGCCAGCCTGGGCTACATCAGAATGAGTTCATGTAGCATGTGTTGTGGGGTTGTGGAGAGAAGGTTCTGATGTAAGGCCTCACTCTGCTCTTGCTGAGGACCCAGGTTCAGTTTCCAAACATGGGGTGGCTAATAACTGCCTGAGCTCCAGCTCCAAGGGATCTGGCGCCCTCTTCTGGACTCTGCAGGCACCTTCACTCACATGTACATATACCCACACGTGACTGTGATTAAAAATAATGTTTTTAACTCGGAGGTATAGCTCTGTGGTAAAGCACTTGCCCCAAATCATCACAGGTCATCCTTTCCCATTGTCCAGGTGCCTCAGATTGTTCATTCGGAGCTGTGAGGTCTGTCACCGTCACTTGCTTTAACATCTTTCTCAGTCCCCCTCTGGAGAAGTGGGCTTGCTGGGGTCACAGGACAGGCAGTGTCGAGGGAAACCATATTCCTGTGAGTTCTCAAGGAACAATGTCC